TGTTTAAATAAGATATAATAAAATAATTGAGAAAATCTACGTTCATTTCTATTACCTGCTTCTACTGAGGTGAAGACGATTCAAAAAGTGTTCCTTGTAATATCTATTTGCAGCAAAAGCATTGCTATTAGATTGTCAATATACTTTTGATTGTTATACATTATAAATACGACAATTTTTTGTCTTTAATCTTTCAAAAGTTAATGATAGTAACACTGTTAGCTCTACACAAATACAGATGTTCAAATATCCTATTTATCCAATTCTTTAAGGCTACAAAATAATATTAGAAATTCAATTTCTCTTCAAGATAATTTTAGGGAAATCACAACCATAACATTTTAAAAAATCAATAAAATTTTAGGATGAGTTCATTATTACGTAACACCTACAAAATATACTCTTCCTACATAATATGTATGAAGTTCGTTTTGTTCAAGGAAATCAACCAACAAATTTTAGATCTTTGACCTGTGTATGTGTGCTCACAATGCGTTGATAGCATAGGGAGTGTATGTGCGCAAAAGTTTCCCAATAAAATCAATCGATAAATTTGAGAACATACTTTAATTTTTAAATAAAAGTATAAATAGGAACCAAAAACTAAAGAACGACATTCTCAGAAATGACTTATTTCCTTCACAATGTAATCCCAGTTTTTTGTTCATCATTCTTATTATGCAATAATACAGTAAATAATTTCAGCAATACTTATAATAATAAAAACAATTAATATGTAAGTACCTAGATGTATTATTTATACCATATTACTGGCAATTCACAAACATCAAGTTCTGTACAATTCTAAAGATATCTGAGAAATTTAAAAAATTTATTTTTCGAAAATAAATTTTCGGATGTGAAAGGGTTATTTTACTTATTTTTCCATGTTGAACGACACCACACGTCATTTTCAGTAGTATTATAAATTATGTCTTACAGTACATATACAGAATGTGACATTTGAATCAATGCAGACAAATCTTTTCAAAACTATTAACAATACCAAAAAATGTTTCACACAAAGATGCAATGGTTTTTAAAAGATAATTTGATCATAATTCTTTTGTAAATGGATATGTGCATATATAGTTTTTAATGAATTAATCGATGTAGTTCATTCTTCATAAAAGTGTTAAATCATTTGTGCTGAGTCATTAGTGTATAATATATTTTAAGTTTAATATTGCTAAACAATATTAGAAGAAGCTTTACCTTCTTACAATTCATGTTCAAAAATGCATTCTTTAGTCTGAATACAGAAAATTATTCAATTTTTAAATAACCTACCAACTATTACCCTTAAATAAATAACCCTACTAATAGTAGGCCAATAGTGTTAGACCCGGTGAATGCGGTGGAAATGTAAAACAGCCACCTTATCCAATCTAATGATTGAGAAACTTTTGATTTAATACTGTTTAAACTGCATAATGATAATGAAAAGAAGTACCATCATGTTGTAACTACATTTACTATCTAGTTGCTAAGTTGATATCTTCAAAAAGTAACAAAAGTAAATTCCGGATATAATATTTATATCTTCCCACCAGTATGCGTACCATACAAAAATATTATTCTGTTACTCGAATCAATCTTTTAAGTTTAATCTCTTTTCACCTCGAATGTCTAACAAGTATCTTTTACTAATATCTCCTCGAATGTCTAATCATTAGAATTAGAGTATTTCGTAAACTAATGATTTCTCGGTATTACACCAATTAATATATTAAAAAAACTATGTTTTCAGTAAAAAGAAAAAGAGAGAAGGAAAAATTGACCTTCACATGTCCTTTGCACATTCACTTACAAAAAACGACTACCATTAGACATAACCTAACCTAACATTCGAAATTGATCAACTTTTATCCGAAATATGTATATACGTAGGGTACTTCAAAGTTAACCTAAATTAACCAAATTGCCAATTTATTTTCAGTAAAAGTACGAAACACTTTATTAGAAAGTTATATCAAGGATGTGAAACATAAAAATAATAACAGGTTCGGATATTGCTCCGAATGACCCTGGTGGCCGATCGAGATGAAACCTGGGTGAATGTTATGAGGAGTATAAAAGGACTCCAAATATAAAATCTTAACTTTGGGAATTCATGCATTCGGAATATACAGGTTCTAACCTAATCTAACAAATTTACCAAAATTTGAGTTATATATATGTCCACAATGCGATTGTGTTTAATTCTAGACGTCTCGGGCATTCTAGACGTTTCGAATTACAATTTTAACGCTAGATGCTTCCAAATACTTCACAAAGCGAATAGTGAGAAAGCGTAAACCGACCAAAATTATATCACAACAATTCGATGTTGATTCTGAATCTATTTCAAACTGTAATTAAGTACATAAAATATATAATTAGCAAGCAATAGCGCAAAAAATGCCTTATATATGAGAATCTATATCTTCCGAACGGGTGAATTCCCGAAGCTCAAATTTTATATTTGAGGTCCTTTCACACCCCTTATAACACCCACCAAGTTTCATTTGGATCGGTCACTGTGGTCATTTGGAACAACAACCAAATCAATCAAATGTTCATCTAATTCGTCGGTTTTATGTTTACTATGCGAAATCATAAAAGCATTTATTATCATGTTATATTAAAAAAAAAGACATTCATTTATATTTTCATTTCAAAATGTCATTCTGTAACATTTTTTCCTTATTTCCACTTATAGAACATATTGATACAATTTAATTGTTTAATTTTGTATGTGTATATGTATGTATATTAAATAGCATAAGATAATGTATCAACCTTCTTAGCCAAAATAGCATTTCCATTTTTATAACATATAATTACATATATTTAGTAAAACAATTTGAAATATATTAATATTTCCATGTATTATAAATATGTGACACAACATCAGGAAGATTATAATTTTGTAAAAAGTAAATATTGCAATAAGAAAGGAAATTTACTTCAAAGTTACGTTTTTTCAATACTTTAAGGTTAATATATTTCTCTGAACAAAGTTATATTTTTTCATACAAGGTAAAAAGCTTTTATACAGAGTAAAAGATAAATTTAACGACTTCTAAAAATATATTAATTTGAGAGTACACAAATTATATGCTATTTAAAAAATAACCAGAAATTTGTTGATTATCGTAACATTTGTTTTTTCAAATAATATTACTTTCTTTTCTTCCTATTTTATATACATATAACAGAAAATTCTACATACATTTTACATCGCAATTTGTTTCACGGTAAATAATATTAAGCATATGTAATATTTAAAAATTTCAGAAATGAATTATTTTATATCACTATATAAGATATCCACTTC